AGTGTGAGGCAGAATTGGTCCCTGGCAGGTAGCCACTATTGTTGGGCGTACAGAACAGGTGCACCCAGAGCAGACACTTTCCTTCGTCCCACTTTATTAATTCCTGGCATATGAATGGATGTCATCAAACTCTGATGCATTCAACCCTTTGTGGGCTTAACACGTCCCAAGAATAGAAATTTCTAATGAGTCTGAATGCCTGAGTTTCATTTATCATCGCTCATTTAAACAGTGCGAGTTAAATAGGGGGAGAATGATCTATAATGCATGCAGGGGAGGGAGGGGAATAGTGTTATTACACTAACTATTCTTATCAGAGATGCAGAATTCAGCCAGGGCCTCATTAAATACTGTCATTGGACTAATTAGGTGGGCTTCATACCTAACAATGGGGAACGACTAATGGAAATTTCATCAGGGAAAGGGGAGGAAAGAACCATCTTTGTTTCAGGGAAAGTGGCTCAGGTGATGAGGTAGCAGGTCTCAAACCTGCAAAAATAAAACCAGAAAAGCTCTACCTGGATCCATCAACTTGAGCTGTTGTGAGCTGAGATCATGCAGGGATGGGTGCCTTGCTCAGGTATTATTTCTTATTGTTGCTCTGTTTATTAGAAAATATAAATTGTGTCACCACACCTGGGAATAGTAAGACTTACCTCCGATGGGCTTTGGTTGTCTAAGCAGCATTAGGACCCCATTGCCCACTGAGCTGCTTTGGCTGAGGCACCATGGACTATCCCATTGCAAAACAACAGACTTGTAAAGAGTTTTACCTAAGAGGCAGAGAAAGCCGAGGTGCACTTGGAACTTCACTGCTGCATTTTTCTGTATGCAAAGACCCCTTTCCGCCCCCCCAGAAAAGGAGGTCTAAGATGAAGGTGCATTTTACCCACCTAAGCTACATAAAGAAAACTAACTGAATTGTGCTGAAAGCAGGCCACAACTCATTCATATCTATATTCATGTCTTTCCCCTCACAATTTTATCCTTGTGGATGGGAATGGCCTTGTGCACAAGTGCATCTTATACAGCAGACAAGGTCCTTTGGGTAAATGTGATACCTTTTATTGGACCAACTAAATAGTTGAAAAAAATGTCCTTTGCAAGCTTTCGGGTACAAACACTCTTCAGGCAGAGGGCGAGTGGAAAATACAGTCTGGACTTGTGAAGAAGTCTGTAGGAGTTGCTCTTAGTGTGTCCTGTCGTTGTTCTAAGCATCTCCAAGGGCTCATCCTGCCTCATTCAGCTAGCCCGATCTATACCTGCTTGGGTGACCCTGCTAATCCGTAGTCATTATTGCAACCAAAAAGCTACCATTGGCTCTAGATTCATTAGATAATTTTTAAAGGCATCAAGCTGACCCAAGGAAATATTTTTAGCTTTAAAAAAAAACCATCAAGAGAATCTAAAAGTGCAGGGTTTAGGAGGTAGATTGGGTGGTAGCAGTGAAAAGCCCCTGCTAATTCTGTAGGGAGGATGACTTGTTGTCGGTATTATTTGTACAGGTCCACTCAGGTGAGGTGCTTCGCAGTTGCAGGATGGTAAGATCCAGGCTTTGATAAAACTAAAGGTTCTCTATGATTTTTATATATATGTGTGTGTGTGTGTGTGTGTGTGTGTGTGTGTGTGTATATGTATATATATGTGTGTATATATATATGTGTGTATATGTGTATATATATGTATATATATATATATATATAAATGGCTTGTGGAGTGCCAGAGGTGCCATTCTGGATCCGTGTGTTAGGAAGACAAGGGAAGGGCTCCCATTATCTTCACTAGACTTTGGACCATGGACAAAGAAAGAGATGCTCCCTACCCCGAAGATGATCTAACTCATCTGTCACTCTCCATATGTATCTATCGTGGACTGTGGCATAATTCTGCATGTGGTGCTCTCTTTCGTCTCGCTGCTACCCCTCCCACATCCTCTGCTCTAATCTGAAACAATCAACCTTATGCTCTTAGTAATAATATCACGCTGCCTTCATCACACAGCTCCAGTAATTGCACCGTGCCCCGCTGCTAGCACCAGCCTGCTCCTCAGCATCTCCGCAGGTGCCAGGCACCGAACGAGGCTGCAGGTCCTGAGGACACCACGGTCCTGTCTGCTCTGAGCTGCCGGTCGCCGCGCCGGCTGGATGCAGCTCTCCCACAGACGCAGACATCGAGGGGAGCTGGGAGCTGCTCTCCGCGCCGGGCCTGTCTGCCAGCACCGCCGCAGGCCCTAAATCTTGCTCCCACTGGGGAGGGACTACCTAGCACTAACTCCACGAGAAGCAGGCAGGGATGGGGCAGAGCCAGCCTAGCTGCGACGGAAGAGACACAGGGGCTAGGAGTGCAGCTTGCCACGCGGGACCTGGAAACGAGCCGGCCTCCTGGCTAAGCAGGCACCGCTCTGATCTGAGGGGTCCCCTAATTGCTTACAAAGGCTTTGATGGCAGCACGATCCTGCGTCGGGTGATGCAGTCCCCGTCTTTTACCCCCCCACATTTCCCCTGGATCAAATGAAAGAAGTGTGGCGATGCATCGAGTGCAGCTGTCAGGGAAAGGCAGGCGAGGCCAAAGGTCCCCTTCCCAGGAGACGTTCCAGTTGGCTTCCTTGCCAGAGCCCCCGGCAGACGGGCGGGGGGCAGCGCCGCTGACAGCTGCTGTTCTGGGGCTTAAGCATTTGCGAGGGCCCATGTGTCATGGCACGGTCGGTTCATGTTTCCTGAGTCATAAATCCTGGCGCTCGGGCACCCGCGGCGGCAGGGCTCTGTTTCTCGACCACGCGGATGTGAGCGTGGGGCCAGGATCCAGAAGGGGAGCACTGGAAACCCCCAGCTACAACGGTGCTTTGCACCTGACTGATCGCTGCTTATATTTCCACCTGCTCCTGGGCCTTCCCCTTTGGCCAGGGGCTGGGGTCCCATCTCCCCCAAGTCTGATCGTGGCTGTTGGCTCCAGAGACGCATGGCTCTGCTTTTGCCTGGCCTGGGGAGGGGTTTCCCTTCAGGTGTTGCACATGCTAAATCCCCAGGCAGTGAGAGCAGACGATTCCCTGCTCAGAAACAAAACCAAGCTGGCTGAGTTGAAAGGGGCCCTAAAATCCCAGCCTGACCGGTCATTCAAGGAAGACACTGTGCTGTACCGAGGCTGGACACGGCATCTGCTGCCCATTTGGGTAACTGCAGCTCATCAGCAAACACATTAACGATCCTCTGGAGGTCCAGAGCTTTGCAGCGAGGACCCGGGTCTCTTTGCCTGCCCTGCAGCCCCGTGACCCTCTCAGGGTGTCCCACCCATGCCGACCCAGCAGGAAGCAAGCAGCAAAAAACGAAGGTTGGGGCAGGGACAAGGGAGGGGGGCAGGACACGGCAGCTGCTAGGTCAGTGGTGCTGTGATGAATGCTCAGCACTGCCACGCGAGAGACCCGGGCGTGAGCTGTTAACCTGATCCTGCAGCATCAGCACATCGGGCTCCTCATCCATTAGCCGCAGCACCCACGGCTGCCGTGCCAGCAGTAGAGCTGCCTTGGCAATGCCGGCTCTGGAAGTATGACTCTTTTTAAAGCCAGCAGCCTTGGTTTGTGTTGAACCGCTGCGAGAGGAGCACTGAGCTTGGGCTCAGCTCCTTTGTGAATCGGCGGAGGAAGGGGTCACATACATGCAAGCTAGCAAAGGTGGAGGCTGAGGCTGCCTGCACGCCAGCGGGTGGTGGGCAGGATGGCCCCGTGACGGGACGCTTGTTCTGCGCTGTGGCTCACAATGACTTTATTTAGGAGGGCTGCTCCCTCCCCGGTGGGGAAGGCGTGTGGGCAGCGCACATGCTGAACAAACAGCACTGACATTCATGAGGAGCGGGAGGAAAACCAGCCTCTCGACCTTCAGAGAGAGGAGAGGGGGAGAAAGCTACCGAGCCCCAACGCTGGGAGGAAGGGAAATGAATGCCTGCTTGTGACTGAGGTTCCTGAAAGAGCGCCCGGAGCGAATTCCACACGCTGCCCACTGCCGCATGCCTTCTTCGGGCAAAAGCAGCACTGGTTTTGCTTAATTTTGTGAAATTAAAATATGTATATTGTATATTTTTACCCCCATTAAATTAATATCTATATAGTAAATAAATATTCTTCCTCCCTCCGTGTCTGGCCCACTGGTTTCTTCACCTTAGAGAGCCAAAAAGGAAGAGAAGAGCATGTAGGAAAGCGCCAGGAGCGCTCGCACATCCCCCTTCCTAAACCTGGGCAGGATGGAGCAATGCAACCCTGTGCCCGTGCAAGGAGCTATGCGTGGCTGGAGGGACTGAAAATGCGGGCGCAGCTACCGAGGGTGGACATCTCCCCCTTCCGGATCCATGATCAATACATTAATTACACGCCCAGCTCACTCCCCTGCGCCTGCTCCTGGCGATCCTAAGCAACAAAGGGCATCCCACAGTTTGCAGGCGACCCAGGGGCGGGAAGCAGGGCTCGCTGGGTGGAGGTCTCGCTCTGCATTAATGGTGCCAGGCCCCTCTGGGACAGCCGTGCGATGTGCCCGGCTGCCTGGGGCAGGAGGAGGCTTCTAGTGCCGAACATACAGTTTGGTTTTAGGTCACTTCTGCATTTGGGTTTCTAGATGGCACCTGACTGTACACCCCAGGCACCTTGGTCCTAACCAGGCAGCTCGTGCCAGAGCGCAGCCTTTGCCAGTGGCCCAAGACAGTGAAGACCCCAAAGCTGTTTCCTCATGAACAATCTCTGACCCAAACGTTTCAATCGCTAAAGACAAAAGAGCAGGTTTGCCACGTGCCTTGAAGGCCATCAGATCCCACCTGTTTTGACCCACAGATGTGGGAGCCCCAGTCCCTTCTGGTTTATAGCATTTATATCTTCCATGCGGAGGGCAGCTATTTAGCTTTGGCTGCTCTTCAGCCCCATACAGCTGACCAAAGCTTTTGCTCTACATACAGGGCTGGGAGATGAGCAGGGCTGAGAGCGGCTGTATCGCACATCATACAGATCAAGTCTACAGCGCTTTGGAAGACTTTGACATCTCTTTATTAGGAACTCTTGGAGAGCTGAACACTGAAGACCTCTGTTCCCTCAAGGCTAAATCTGTACACAACAACACTTAAAAAATCCCAACAACCTGACATAAGGTCGCAGCGCGGCATCTGAGGTTAAGGCCATGAAGGGTTAAGCAAAATGGGCGAAGGATTTCTGGACATCACACATTTCCAAGCATGGACCTGGTTACTCGCTACGGGTTAAACTGACACTGGTAAGAACAGACATGGTGACTATATTGGAGACACCTTTGAAAAAGAATAGCTGAAATGTGGTGTGATGCTCAGGCTTCCACACCCGCCTTTAACAACGGTTCAAGTACGGCAGTGCCTCTCGTCAAGTCATACCTAACTCCTTTCATTTAAATATTAAGTGCTTTGAGAGCAACTTTTGAGTTGCTTGGTTTGTAACCCAGCATTAAGTGCACACGAGGAAGAGTAGATTTTTTTAAAAATAGATATATGTGTATATATATAGCGCACACGCACACACACTGCGTTTTATGTAGTGCAGCTATTTTAACCAGAGGTGAACCACGTGGACGCTGCCATAACCAGTGAGAGTCACAGGCTGGGAAGGGAACCGGCTCTCCATGGCACTGCCGGCGGTCAGGGATTTGCGTTACTCTCACCGGCTCTGGCAAGCTTCGGCACACATCCTGATTCGGCTGCTGCTCTGGCTTCCTTCCCCAGAGGCTGCCGTGAAGCTGTCCTTATGTGGGCCTGAAGTGCACCGCATGCTTCAAGGAGGTGTCTCCATCTCCTCCGGCACGTGGCGCGGCAGAGGTGTGGAGGGGTCTCGCGTCCGGCCGTGCATGGCCTCCAGCTCATCTCTGGTTTCAGACACAACGGGTGAGCACGGGAGCTCAGACCCAAACAGCCGTATTAATATCGAAGCCTGACTGGGTGTAGTCAATGGTGTCGTGCACCTTCTTGGCACAGTGCTTGGATTTGTCACCACCTGTTTCCATCTTGGGGCACCTCTCCGCTTTGCTGTGATTGTTCTGCATGTTCCCGTGGAGGGGAAAGTAAAACGTCCCTTTCTGTTTGCTGGCCTTTTTGGGTCTCTTGGAGAGCTCCGTCTCCCTGCCTCCCGCGGGCAGCCAGCCCGGTTTCTCCTTGAGGAGCCTGTCCCTATCCGGCCGGACGCTTCTCAGAAACTTCTTGAAAATGTTGGTCGTGAGCGAGAACTTCCTGCAGAAGTCCTGCGACTTACTGGGCGAGAGGGAGGGCTCGCTCTTCTCGCCCTTTTTATCCAGCTCTGGCAGGTCCAACCAGTTCCCGACCAAATCTGCAAAGATGTTATCCCCTAAGACCAGAGGCTGCCGGTTTCTGCTGCGAGACATCAGGGAGGAAGTCCAGTCGTTGGCGTCGTCAGACAGCTGGCATTCCCTGCAGCCAGCTCGACTGCCAGCCGAGCTCTGGGGGAGGCCACTGGTGTCTCTGCAAAGCTGGTTTCCGGTCGAGCCCAAACTGGCTGACTCAAATGTCCTTGGCGGGCAATACTCTGCTGCGGTCAGGCTCGAGGAAGGTCTGTTAACATGATAATAGTCTTCGCGATAGATATTCCTGAAGGAGGAAGCCACGTGTCTGTGGTGGCCGCTGTCTGGCAAAGTAATGGGGCCAACCAGGCTGGCAGATTGGTGCGTCTGGGTGGCGCTGGCCATAGCCAGGGAGCTGCGCTCCTCCACTGGTCTCTTGCCCAGCCACCTCTCCGTCTGCCTGCTGGTTTCCAGCCTGGCTTTGGGCCCCTCTCTGCCATTTCGGCAGCACTGGTGCTGCCCAGCACCGGAGACCGGGTTGCGACTCCCTGAAATCTCCAGCTGCTCCAAAGCTGTCTGGACCTGGAGGAGTTTCAACTCTTGCAGGGCACCCATCATGCAGTTCATCTGTTCATGGAGCCCGTCTCCAACCTCCTTCATGGATAACTGGGGAGGACAACAGGACACTGAATTAGTGCTTGGCAAAGCCAAGAGAAAACGGGCAGCGTTTTTATCTCTGCTACAGGAAGGGAATTGATTGCTGGCTGTAAAAGCAAGAGGTAAATCCCCTTTGTATTTTGTAAGCTAGGCAAGTGCACAAAAGCAGCTCCTTCGAAACGTGACCTACTATCAAATGACGCAGGTTTAAACGCGTGGTATCTGTCCCCGAGGTCCCGGCTGCTCCATGGGACACGCAACACAAATGCTTTAGTTCTGAAGAAGCCAAAAATAAGTTATTTTCCAAAGCCCAGTGCTTGGACATGCAAAGGGCTGACAGAGGCATTCAGTTCTGCAATTTGACAATGGAAATATCTGTTTATCTGAGTTTCAATTAGCGGCTTGGCAAAACCTCAGTGCCTGGAACCGAGCACGGCTCTGCCTGCCTCCGTTTTTAGACGGAGTCTGCTGCTTTCGGTGCTTTCTTGCTGAGCAACTGTTTGAGCCCAGAAGTGCTGTGCATAACAAATGGTCCATGCCTTTGACCACGCACCTGCCTTCTGTGCCTAACGGGGTGAAATCGGATTTCAAGATTTAAAATATGGCGTGGCATTGCACTGTAACAGGTCTCAATGCTTTAATATTATAATGCCTTAACTACAGGTTAAGAAACATACACACCGAGATGGAATAAAATCCTGGAAACTTGAACAGAATAGTGATCTGTGGGTGAAAACAAGAGTAATCCATTATTTGCTAGAAAAACAACATTTTGGCTTCCCATCATTAACGCTTGTGTTTTATCCGTCCACTTTGCCTGAAAGGTTTAACTTGCCGTGCAAACTTCAAACTATGCTAGCTATGTTCCAAAGCCTGTGAACTCCCCTCTCTCTCCCTTCACTCTGCTGCTTTCCTTCTCTCTTCTGTGGGATCTGGATCATATTCCCCAAGCGGCATCATAAAACAAATGGGCTGTACTTCCCAACAGCTGCCACCACTTTTTTTTGGAAGGGGCTTGCTGGGCTCGAGGTAAAGATGCGTCATATTGATGGAGAGAGGTTGGCACAAGAGATTAAAAATATCTCGGAAACGCTGGAGCCCAAATGTTCATAAACATGCTGTTTAAAAGGCTCCTTGCAGCACAAGAGCTCTCTCAGCGTGCTGTTGCCACTCTCACACCTATACACATGGCTCGTTCTGCATTACTAAGCTTTTGTCTTTCTTTCTTTTGCCCCATCATTAGTTCAGTTACTTGCAGTTTGCTGCTTGATGGTAAGACGAGAATTGCAGTGGGTGAGAAAGGCTACTGAGACAGCTGCTGCTCTGCAACGACCACGCTACGAAAAAGCAGAAATCCTCTCGACACGCTTTGCAGACAGATCTCTCCCTCTCAGTTTCAACAATCAGACCCTGAGCATGAGCAGACAGTCTGCATCTATTTCAGGAGCCCGAGAGAAGCGGCATTTTCCCCCTGCCAGGACTGCACAGACATGGAGAAGATCCGCATTCAACCCCCCGATCACATTCGCAAACCTCCCGAACTGCCTGAGTTTCCAAGTATCAGCCACATCAAGCTCCAGCCCACATATGCACAAGTCATGCCTGCCCCGCTGCAAGAAAAGAGCTCTTGTGCTACCAGCACAAAAGCCGGGACCATATGTTCCATAAGCCCCAGACAAAACTATCACCTTACCTCTCCAGATTTGCTGTAATGCTGCTTGTCCTAACCTTTCTCGCCTTGTTAATGGAAGTCTTTTTTATCTGGGGCTTTGCAAAGCTGGATTTAGAGCCAGCCTGGACCCTCATTGGACACTTCACATCAAATCCCCTCGCAGGCAGAGCAGTGTAATCAAGCAGTGATGAGTGACAAGGGTCCTTTAGTAATGGTTAGGCTGATCAGAAAGTTGGCATATGCCGGACGGCTGGGCTGTTCACTTCACTGATTCAATTAACTCTCTCATGATGGGTGGTATCATTACCATGCACACCTCATCCGACAGGCCCTATTAAGCATTAATATTTCAGAGGCAGCAGTTGTCATCGCTGTGTTGGTTTCCCCCATGGAGAACCCCTCCCCCTTCTTCTCTCTCAAGGGGTGAGAGATTCCCCAGGAGCCTAAATTCAACCCGGGGAAGCCCGAGGCTCTTTGACGTGAATGCAAATCAGCCAAGGGAACTCCACTTGCAGCCCATGCGTGCCCTGGACTTTGGGCCACCTGAACCAAAGCAAAACGTTTTCAAGATGCAGCAAGAAGAACAAACCCCCCCGCTTCCAAATTTCTGCTTGTGGAAATCCTGCAATGGAAATGTCCAGACTTTTTGGTCGGTTCTCCCTGGAGAAGCACAATGGTTCCCAAACATCATGGGGGAAGTCCTTGACTGGTGTAAAGGGGCAAAGGGCCACCGACTCCAGGTGGATGATTTACAGCCAGGTAACACAGCATTAGTTCCCTCGGTGGCAGGCAAGCATGGGACTGTCTCTGAACTGAAGGCTTTCCAGCCGTTAGGGCACTTGTCTAGGGCAGGGGAGAACTGGGGTGTAAATCCCTGCCCAGCCACAGGCCTCTTAAGGGATCTCAAGTTGCAGATTGCTGGAGGCACTGAGGGCTTTGCTCTGTGTCTCCGGTCCCTCCCGCTCTGTTCCCTGCTGCTCACGGTGCTGTGAGAGCAAACACGCCGGAGACCAGCCCCGGTGCACAAATCCTGGGCAAGACTGAGCCCTATAGGGACCTAAGGCTGTTTCTTTGCCTCCCCTGCTAAAACATTAGGTTACTATAACTGAGAAAACCTGCCTCCTTGGCCTTGATGTCTCTGTAGTTTATTGAAGGAGACAGTAAATGAAAGCGTGCCCCTCTGGAAGTGGACAGGAGTTTTCCCACTAACTTCCCCAGGGCCAGGCTTTCACCCAGACTGCGTTAATTACTCCTTGCTCGTTAAGTGTATTTACGTGGACTGAAAATGGCAAGTTGCATCAGACAAGCACCCCCTGGAGAGAGGCTAAGCTCTTACATTGCCCTTTTAGCCTGGGTGGCCAGGACACGCTACTTCTTCCAAACTCTGCATCTGTAGATGTTAGAGGAAAGTCTGTAACACTGAGATCTACTGAGCAATGAAAGCATCTGTCAAAGAGAGGAGAGGAAAGCACCGTCCCACTGGTCATGTGAGATCAGATGAGACAGTCTACTTGGGGAAGTAATGCTGGGAGCAGCCCTGCGAGCTGCAAGGGAGGTCTGGCCGGGTCTGCTGCACCACAGCCGTGCAAGGCTAGAGGATGATGCTAGGGGCCTGCCTGGCCCTCTGCTTGCCACGATCCCGCTCTTCACGTGGAAGGAATATGTGCAGTGAGCGAAAATGCAACCTCCAACGGAGCATGAATGTGGCACAGAGCCCCCGAGAGCTGTAGGGTGACGCTTCAGCGCAGCGGTGGCCGCGTTGATGGGAGTGACGCGAGTGATGTTATATAACCGGCCTGCCAGAGGCCATCAGGGGCCGTGTGCCCCGTGTGTGCTCGCACGCTGTCAATCCCCAGCCTCACACTGGATCCAGCTGTGCCGCAGAGGTGTCTGCAGGACTGAAAACACAGCATGGGCTAAAAAGCTGCAGGTCTTTGGCTGGATACTGCTCTTGATGATCCCTTCTCGCTGCTGACAGCAGCTGGGAGGAGCTGCCAGCTGTTGCAGTGTGGGGAGGGCATTTGTGTTACAGGCGGTAAGGCAGCGGGTGGTTTTGAGTGCCTCGTTTGAGTACGCTCAGGCCTTTGTGCAAAGAGATGCTGAGCCCCGCATCGAGCTAAACAGGAGCTCTGCACGGCTGCTTGAGAAACGTTGGGCCTTAGCTACACATCAGGTCCATGTACTTCAGAGCCAGGATACGGCCAGCCAAAGGAGACGGCCTGCACAACCCGGCATGCGCACACTGGACCAAACAACGCTGACGTAAACCGGCCCCTTTCCATGGAAGCTGCGGGGTGGGGGGAGATCTGTGATGTTCAATGCTTCACTTCCCCGGAGTAAGGCACTTTGCTACAGCTCCACCCTCTAGCAGGAAACCACAAATAAAGCGGCCCTGGCTAAGCATGCCTCCAAGCTTAATTAAACAGCAGCCTTCTCAAAGGCTGGACACTGAGGTGCAAAGCCCAGGAGGGCTCTCAGCCATCCGGGTAATTGGCCAAGGATGCCCCAGATCAAAACAGTGTCCATGTGCTGGTGCGAGAGGTGATTAAATCTGCCCGGCTGCAGCCCAAGTGGCAGAGATGGGGAAGGCTTTGCAAATGATGCCATTTATAAATCTCCCTGCACTCTTCCTCCACCAGATCTTTCATTCCAGCTGGGAAGAGCTGACACCGTTTCAGTAGGAATTTCCCCAGGCTTCCCTTTTGCTTTCTCTGCTGTGGGAAGTCGGCGCGTGCGGCCACGTGAGCGTCTGTGGCGTGGGAAGGCCCAGCGTGTGGTCCTCTGACCTGCCTACCACACAGCAGCCCCTGCCATTCCCATCCGGCACCCGTTCAACTCAAGCATGACAGACGATGCCCCTCACCCTTTGCCCTCTCTTCTCATGCAGCTGCGCCAGCGCCCTGAAACCCTGGCTTGAGGCAACCCCCTCTGTTCCCACCCCAGCTGCTCTGGAAGTGAGCGGCCGGCACTGAGCCGTGGCAAGGAAAGACGGAAAAGGAGGGCTCGAGTTCCCAGCTCTGTCGCAGGTATCCGGAGCCATCTTGGGAAGTCACGTGGGTGCAGCTACACCAGGCTTGGATGCCAGTCTGTGCCTCTGTGACCCGTCTGTACAATGGAGCTAGCAGCCTTTCCCTGGTGCGGTGGTACGTGCAGTAGTCACCTGGGGGTGCTCAGATACACAGTAAAGGCAGCCACGTTGCATGCACTTAGGAACAGGGCTCAAATTATGGGGAAGCTCAGGGCAGCTGAGCCCCCCCGTAAGATTTGAAAATCATAATCTTGGGGGGGTCTCTGATTCTATTAGGGCATCCTGATGCGCAGCCCGTTTTTTTTTTTTGCAGACTCCCCCATAATTCAAACTCTGCTTAGGACCAGCCAGATCCCAAAGGCATTTTCACTCGGGAGACCTGAAACAGCTTGACGCAGCACAGTGAAGGACTGGCACCCACTGCAGACCTCTCACCCCCAGCAACTAACTGAATGTGCAGCCTTTACAACCCTCTCTTCCCGGAGAGGGTTTTTTATTGTTTGCCACTACCCTAAGCCCCTGAGGCTGCCCCAGCCTTGACAGTGTGTCTAACAATATCTCGTGGGAATGCACTTGCCAAGCTGATGGACCTTGTTCCCCATGACAGCCACACATTTTACTGCTGCCACAAATGTGCCTGTAGTAGCAAATATAGCTGCTGTGCCCATAAATAAGAGATGGCAAGCAGGGACTGCTTTGCGTTTTTGGAGAGTTACATAAACCAGCAAGCTGCTGTTATATAAAGTATATTATAAATAAAGTGGCCCTCAGGTCCCACCCACCACCGCAGCCTGCTACAGGCAGCAGCATTTCCAGAACTTTTCTGGTGTGAATTAGTGCATTCAGAAACACATCCCCACCTCCTACTCCAAATGACAAACTCTCCTCTGCATCTCGCCTAGCACTTCAGAGACCCCCATCTCTGCATGGGGGCTCACAAGGGGAAGCTGGGGGTGCAGATATGCAGACAGAACAGCACCCAAGCCTTTGTCTTATAAATAGCAAACTGGATCAGAGCAGTGGGGGAACAGTCCCAGGCTCTTTTAGGTCTCAGGGGACTCACTACACCGAAACAAGAAAGCTGTGAATGTGGGTCCTGGTATTTTTGCCCTGTCAAGAAGGGCATTAGTGGTAAAACCAACGTGTATGTGAAGCCCCACAGGCTCCGGTGCTAGGGGTCTTTGCATGTTGTAAGGCAAAACCAAGTTTATTTTCCTTCTTATTCTACCCATCAGACCCAAGAACCAAGCTTCCTCCTATGTCCATAGGCTGCATTTCCCAGACCCTCGCATTTCCAAATGGCTGCATACTTTTAACAGGTGTTGCCTTCCACCCCAGTGGCAGCTGCATTTCCGTGCTTGGTAGCAGCCTTTGCAACCAGATACGTTTCTAAAGCATTTTGGTCTAAGCAATGCTATGTAAATGCAAGGTATTAGTATGCACATGTCCTGGCACCAATGGACTGTGCGGCAATTCAGCCCTTTGGCACAGCAGCGCATGACCAGATCGGGGCACACTAGTGGGTCTATGCCCATTTCAATATCCCCTTGTCTCTGATCTAGCGCAAAGCCAACTGCCTGAGAGCTGCAGAATGAAGGAAGACTTCAGCTGTCATTTCCCATGTTAGAAAATCTTTCAAAACAACTCGCAAACTCACATTTCCCGTTGAGGCCTGAACTCAGGAATTCTGCTCTAACCAATCTCCTCCAGCCAACGTTGTTCTTCTTCCCAGCCCATCTCTAGACTGCCCTGGACGACAGCAACATTTTGGTGCCGATTGGAAAAAAAATGAATAGATAACACATCATCGCTTCCAGCTGACTGGAGAGAATCATAAAGAAGGGCTTTGAGTGTGTTTGTCCTAATGAGGAGGAAGACAGATGTCCAGCTCTTAGGGAAAAGAAGTGTTGTGAGAGGAAGTCATTGCTAAGGGAACAGGAAGGAGCAGGCTGCAATAGCAGCTCTTAATAATAATGCCGAGAGGCAACAGAGCCAGCAGCAAACAACAGTTGGTATTTAAAAAGGATGATATAATAGGGGCCCTTTTTTTTTTAGACTGGAGCTGCTCCATTGGTCTCTGTGTTTTCCCCTGGACTGAGACCCTCACTCTTTGTGGGAGCTGAATTCAGCGGTCTCTTGAGAGAGGGATTTTCGTGTTGAGGTTACGCCTTACTCGGACTTTTCTGGCGAGTCCAGAAGGTAAAGGGGGCTCCTTTCATTACTGCCTGGGTTTTATCATGGAAATGTCTGAAATTTCAGGCCTCCTCTTCCTGGAGCTTGGTTGGAAGAGCAAGATTAGACATGACACGGAGGTTAACGTAACCAAGCAGTTTCAAACCGAGTCACTCTCGCTTCCCGTTCTCAGTTGCTCAGGTTTGCTCTCCTGACCTGTGGGATGGCATCATTTTGCCCATTCTCCATGCACTAACTGCAGTATCTTTCAGAGCAAACAAAACCTGACTCTGTCTCGCAAACACAAAATTAAACTGTAAAAGTCAATCAACACCCATGCACTGATTGAAAGAACTTGCCGCTTCCGGGACATTCTTCGTTACAAAGGAGCAAGGAAGGGCACGAGCCCAATTTTTTTTCCTTTGCAGATCGCTGTCAAGGGAGGCAGGATCTGATCCAATACTCTGCCTTCCCAGCACCTGGCAGCCCTGTTCTTGGGCCCTGAGTTTATGCAGCTGCCCTGGGGTGAGTCCAAAACGCTCTCCTGCCTTCCCCAAACTGCTCGCTCTGCCAGAGGTTCTGGGGTCTCGAATGCCTCTGAGAGGGATCAGAGCCGAACAAACAAGCCACAGTCTCTGAGGGGCTTCTCGGGAGCTAAACCACCGACCAAAGCCCTTAATTGCGTCTTTTTTGCCACCCAGGAAAAGAGGCAGGAAATCAACAAGTCAGCATAAAGCTGAACGGAGGTTTCTCGATCCCCCCAGACAATGCAGATGGGAGTGGAAATGCACAATCCCGTCTTAGCGGGGCACAAGGAAATCGGGGAAGTGGAGATGCAAACCCATCTCAGGGTGGCGTTGCTGTGCTTTGGCCCTGGTGGGGTTGCATAATCTGTGCGGAGGCAACATCATGCCGCCTGTGGCATTGCAGCAGTGGCCAGGGGAGCTATTGCCAGGGTGCAGAGCAGGCCAGCTGTGCCCTCCTCTGTCCCGGGGTGCTCCTGCGCGCGAGGATATGCAGCTGGGTGGGCCAGTTTTCACGCCCGCCAGGGAAGCACCGTGCAGCACAGAGCTTCTCCCGGGCCGCCAGACTCCAGCAAAGTCAGCCAGAAGGCTCTAATCTCACCTCAGCCCAGGCCAATCCACCAAGGCTTTTACCTTCCAAAGCCAGGAGTCAAAGGTATTTTAAGGCTGACACCATGCTGCTAATCTGCAAATGATCTTTCCAGGACTTAAGAGGTTCGGCTTTCTTCCTGAATCAACCATTCTTCGTTCTCTCTCGTTCCAGCCAGCAGGTCTTGCCCCTACCTCAGTCCATCGCTGCTCCTGAGAAAACCTGGGGATATGAAGACGTGTTCTGGGCAGATACCGCCTTTCAAGATGCGCTTTTCCAAGTGACTCAACACTTCTCGTTTGCTGCCTGTCAGTGCCTATTTTTGTTTTCCTCTGCCAAGTTGTCTGGCCCAGCAGGCAGGCAGGTCCTCAGCGGGGAGTCGACGGGTGCTGGGACACAGGTGATGTGGAAGGGAGCATGGTCAGCAGAGTGTGGGCGAGGAGAGCTGCCCCCAGATAAAGGGTCGGTTGAAAAAGAGGGGGAGGTCTTTTCAGGGGGTGCCCATCAGGCAGCTCCCTTCCTCCTGCCCCACCAGCCTGCAGGGTTTTGATGCCCAGAAATTCCCCAGCCTCTGAGCACGGTTGCCAGTGTGTTGGCCCCTACCCTAGTGAGCAGGGAAATGTTACCTTTTACAGGTGGGGAACCGAGGCACGGAGAA